TCGCAGGTCTCGACTCCGCTGGAAAACACACCTTTGGCGCAAGCGGGTCGTCAACTGAACCTTCTCGTCGATGATCTTGGCCCTCGCGTGGCATCGACTGCATTCCACGTTGCGACCCTGTCTCTGCATGGTGTGCGACACATGCCCTTCCCACAAGCTGCTTTCCAGCGGTCCCGTGTGACATGGCTCGCTGACAAACTTGGTAAAGGCCTCTTCATTCGTCCTTGCCAAGATGTAGCTTTTGCAAGCCAGGCACCGAAGGTATGCACGATCCAACTTCAAATGGTGCACGCCATGCTGTTGACCAGTTTGGGAGGCCACCAAAGCGTGAATCATCTCCATCCGGGTCTGCTTGGGCTGAGAGGGCTTGGGTGCTTTTTCGCAAGGCTTCTCCCCCGCTTCTTTGAGCTCAACCAAGAGACTCTTGCTGTGGTATCGTAGCTTGCAGTGACCACAGCGAATGCCGCTTCGGAAAGGCTCCCATGCATGTCCCATGGGAGAATCTTTGGCTAGTAGATCAGCAAGGATCTCCTTCTTCTGCTGGATGAGTGGGACTTTATCCTGCATGGCGGCTTCCTTGCGGTGCAAATAGTGGTCCTTGTTCTGAAGCAAAATGCTCATCCTTTCCCCGGCCTGCAGCAAGATGTCATGAGCGTCGTTGTCAACATGAGCCTGCATGTCAAGAATCTCGGTGGGTTCGAACAACTTGCCAGTGCTAAGGGCCAACTGTTGCGTGTCTCTCTGGGTGATCCGCCGGAGTTCATTCTGAGAAAGCTCCTGCTTGGAGAAAAGGAGTGGCCACACATGATCAAAGTCCTCGAACTCCAGCCCCGGAAAGAGATCCGGAAAGGTCTCAAAGGCCACATGAGGTTTCCAGGCCTGCCATACTTTCACATCATACAGAGCCACCGGAGTCTTCTCAGTGACATGCAGTGCCAACTGCTTCAATGCGTAGAAGAAAGCCCTTCTGCGCGTCGCAGGTGCAGGACAGATGCCTGTAATGGACCCAATCTGCTGCTTGGTCTTGGTGTGATGGACACAGACCGCAAAGGCAAACCGACGATGCCTCTTGTCCCCGCATGTGGGTGCCACAGCAATGGAGCAGATGTGACTTTTGTCAGCTCTCAAAAGCCCAAGATCACTCCACAAGCCAGTGCCTTCGATGGTGGCCAAACCTTCTTCTGGCTCATAAAAGATCTGCTGAACAAAGCCCCGCTGCCAAAGCTCAGGATCAGTGCCTGCTTGCAACCGATTGACCCATTCAGAGGATAACTCTTTGACCCTGCCTTGCCAGAAGGAGCACTCCCAGAGCAGGTGAGTGAAGGTCAAGTCAACTCCGCATAATGGACAATGGCCAGAAACTCCATGTAAGGTCCCTTGATGGAAAGCACGAAGTCCGGTGGCCAGGGAGTCACTGGTGGTCCGCTGGATGTGCAAACTGATCATCCAATCCAACTGCCTTTCCATGTCGTGGCACCCTTCATATCTGGTCAAGCGCAAAAGCCGTTGCCAGCGGAATTCCTTCTGGAGCTGAGAGTGAATGACCGGCCATGGATCCAAAAGGGAAAGCAAACAGTCCGGTATCCCGCCGTAGCCAGTGCGCTTCCATTTGTGGCCATTGGAGATGTCAAACTCCATGTCGAGCAGGTATGCCTGAAGAGCCTGAAGAGGGCCAGAAACCACCTGCCATTTGTACCTGGCCTGTTGAAGAACTCCCAAAGCGGTGTTCCAGCTGGTCCAGAAGAGATGCTGCTTACTCTCATCAAAGCGGTGGAAGACCTTCCAGACTGTGTGCAGGTGTTGGAGGATGATGGAATCCCCAGGATCTGGCTGTCCGTCATTCATATCAAAGACCACATCGACCGACCCGGTCCGCTGTAGTTTGAGTCCTCGAGCAGCTAAGACTCGGAGTTGCTGGCGTCTTTGAGGAGCCAGTCCGTTGGCTTGAGCTCCCCAAGACATCACCGGGTGAATGGCCCCTTTGTGCAGCCTGTAGCGAATGCCGGTGGTCAACCGAAGTCGATGAAGGATCCCAACTCGGCCTTTGCCTTTCAAGAAGCGCTTTTTGATCTGAGGGACCCGGCGCCTGCGACCAGCAGTGGAGTCAACGCCCAAGTCGCGCAGGACATCATAGTGCTCAGGATCACTGTCCGTCAGCAGGGCCTTTAAGGCTCTAGCAGCTTCTTTGGAGCTTGTGAGGAAGCCTGTCTTGTCCGTGTTCAACTTCAAACCAGCTTCCTCCATCTGGTACTTCATGGTGCGGAAAGCATGCAACGCTTCTCGAGCAGCGAAGTCTGGGTCCCGGCTGTGGATGTCGAAACTGACATCGTCCACCCATGTCTGGAGGTGGGCAGCCGGATGATTGGTGACCATGACCTTGAGGGGCTTGAAAAGGATGAGCTTCGAGATGGCTGGCGCCTGAGGGCATCCCTGAAGAATGCCCTTGTCATAGTGCTTGGCCTCTCCGTTGATCCCTTCAGCTTGGATGGTCCTGGGTCCGCGGTAGACATCAAGTGCAAACTTGAGGTGCAAGGGCGGATATGCCACTTCACGGGCGGGCTCGATGATGGCATCTAGGTCAACATGGTCATAAAAGCAAGTGAGGTCTGCTAAGCAGGTGACCGTGTGGATGCCCTGATGCCGAGCAATCTCAGCATGCAGCATCCTCCCGATGGCAATGCTCAAACAATCACGCCCGGGCCTGGCTTGATCCCACGGTAGTTGATCATCCAAGGAAAGCTGCCACCTCTGCAGGTCTGCCTTTCTCGCACGGCACCAGACCCGATACAGGCAGCTGGTAAGGGCAATTGGTCTCTCGACCTTCTCATTTTTGGGTATGAGAACGATGTTGGTCACCCTCAGTTGCAAAGCCAACTCGCCTTCGCGCTCCATAGAGGTGAGCAGTCCTGCCAGTTTCTCAACCGCTGGATAAGGCAAATGCCGAAGGAAGTCGTAAGAAATGCCATCAGGTCCAGCCGCCTTGTTGGGCAAGTGGCGAAGTAGCTGCTGTAGTTGATGGGACTGAATGGGAGGTAACTGCTCCGCTTGATCAACGGCAGCGGCCTGAAGCAGATCCCATTGCCGAAGGGGACGAGGATCAGGGCGAGGGTGCCAAATGTCCTCCCATTGGGCTTGTCGTGCCTGTTGCCGTTCTGCCAGTGGCAAATGCTTGAAGGGCCTTTGCCATGGGACATCTTTCTGCCGGAGACTCCGGAATAGGCCCCTGAGGCCTTTCTCTAACCATAGCTTGTATTCCTCACTGGAGGTGTGGAAGATGGCCTTGTGAGCGAGCTGCTCCTCTTCAGCGATGATGCGCCGAATCTCCAGAGGTTCATTAGTGGGATGCTGGATCCAATGCTTCAGTAGGGCAGTGAACAAGTCTTGGCTCATCCCATCCGAGGCATGCTGTGGTACTGCCTCAAGCATATTGAGCAGGTCCTGAGCAACTCGAGGGTGCTGAGATTGATGAACCACATTGACTCGCACCTTCATCTTCTCCCAAAAGGCAACATGTCCTTTCTTCCAAACTTGTGACTTGGTCTGATCGACCAGAGGAGCCTGGAACATAGAGATCCGAGAGCCCCTGCCTTGTGTGGGTGCATGGAGCAACTGAGTGAGGTATTTCTCGGTCTGCGTAGCCCATCGAGCAAAGTCAGAGCCAATGCCAGTGATGGGTTGGCCCATGATGTGGAAGGGACCATCGTCTTCCCAAAAGCTAGTCCAGGTGGCCGGCAAAGGGTGGGTCCGTCCAATCGGAGGAAAGCGCTGAAGTTGTTGGACAGAGACAGCCGCATAGTCACACTTGAAGGTCACATCCAGAGCACAATGAGGCTTCCATGGCACATCCCAGTTTGCCTGAACCTGAAGACACGGCGCCAAGGAGGAGGAGACCAGCAGGAAGTCCAATTGAGATCCTTGCAAGGTGGTGGGTCCTTGTGTGTCTAAGATCTCCGCTTTGAACTTACTCTGAATGACCGTGGCGGCCAAAGCGCCAGGTTCGTTCTGCCAGTCTCCACCCACAATGAATGGAGCTCGAAGATGTCCCAGGTAGGTGAGGAGATGAGCCAAAAGGTCAGCATTGAGAGGGGGCTGCAAGGTTTCCCCAGTGCGCAAGTACAGCTGAATGATGAAGATCATCGTGTCCTGCCTTTGCAAACCAACAGACATCCAGCCGTTACCTTCTTGGAGGTAGTGATGATCCAGATGGGTCAGATGCCGGTTGCCATGCAAAGTGAGCATGCCTCCGGTGGTCCCTCCTCGTCCAGTAGCCGCGGCCGGGAGACCATGTGTTTTCCAGCCTCTGGCACTGAAGTATTGCTGGGCCTCGTTGAGCTTCTTGGGACCCAAATGAGTTTCTTGCAGAAAGAGAAGGTGATCTCCTTTGGTCCAGATCCAATCCTGAACGCGAGCTCCAAAGAAGGTCACATTCCCAAAGATGAGGTGCAAGGTCTCATAGTGATGCTTGGCCTTCTTGGGCTGACTGGGTGCCAGAGCTTCAACGGCATCCGGTACGAGCTCGCCCTGATTGTCGTGAATCAGCCAGAGTTGGACAACCTCCTTTCGTTGCTGATCCGAAATGTTGGACAAGGGAACAGGATACTGATCATCATCGGCGAACCAGTAGGTGTTGTCCATGGCATGGATGCACACATAGTGCCCGTTTTCATGCCCTTCACCTTGATGCAAAACCAAGCTGACAATCCTGTAGGTGGCCATATGGACATGGATGCCATCCTCCGAGAAGGGAATGTTGACGCTGGTGGAGAAATCCAGAGGCCGATCGTGCTTTGTCCAGCGCCCTTGGACCAAAGCTGACCGTTGAAGATGAAGAATGAGGCCATCAGGAGCCCCATAAAGGTATTGTCCGCCTTCTTCATCAGCCCACTGGTTGACAAGCTCATCCAAGGAGATGGCCGAATCGCCTGGTGGAAACAGCAGGTTGAGGGGAACTTGCTCTCGGTCCTCAAGCCTTCCATCAGGGTGAACATGAAAGAACTTGCCTCCGAAGAAGGTGCTGTCCGCAAAGTTCCACAAGAGACCTGCAAAATCCCCCACATCAGCTTGAGTTCCTTCCGGGAAGTGTTGGAGAATGTGGTGCATCTGATCTAAGTTGCGGAGCAAAGAAGGTTCGCCAGCCCCCAGAAATTCCCGAATCGCGGCATGTGTCCTGCCCCAAGCGATGGACTGATCCTCTGCATGAGCACCGGCCCAACTCCAGCAACGCAGGACGGCATTTGCAAAACACATGTTGTGCGGATTGGAGAGGATGCTGGTCAAAGCCTGAGCCACAACGTAGACATTCGTGGCCAGATGAGGAACATCTCCTTGAACAGCCAGGAGCTTATGGAGGGTGTTTTCCATCCTTCTCAAATCAACCAAAAACTGTTGACCCTTGACCAAGGACCAACTCTGCTCAAAGTCTGCCCGCGAGGAATCAAGATCTCGCTTGGATAGGATAGGATCGGTACTAAGCTCCGAAGAGCCTGACCACGTAGAACTTGTGCAAAAAGTGGCAAAACCTTGGCAAAAACTTCTGCAAAAATGAGCAAGATCAAAAAAATGGCCACGGCTTCTGCCTTGCCATAGTCGAGCTCAAAGAGACATTAACGGCAGCACAAAGGTTGGAAGGGGTGCTGTGCTGCGGCGCACCCCCCCGTGGTCACTCAGCCCTGCAGCTCACGAATCAGACCTCCACGCCGAGGCCTGTAAGCTCTCACTTCCCAGCTCTTCACCGGTTGGTCACGAGTATTCGGGGTAGCGTTGGGCTGGGAGACACCCAGCAACGCTGTTCGCATCATATGGCCTTCAGCAGAGGATGTCAAGGTGATCTCATAGGGCGATTGCTCAGGGCTGCGGGACGCAGCGGCTTTCAAGCTAATGTCCGAGACAATGCAATGAGCTCCCCCCTTTGGTGACGACCTCTACCAGGTGAGTGAGAGAAGTCTTGCACTCCTCGGCGCCAACCAGCACTGGCGCAGGTCCTGCCATGGCCCGGTCGATAGCCTCAAGGAGAGCCTTAAGTCTGGCACAGGTGCAGGAACACTTGTCGGGATGTTCTTCACCAGGCTTACTGCGATCTTTCCATTGCTTCGCCGCTTGCTCGACATGGTCATGCAATGCCTTAGGCAAGAACAGGATCAACATCAATGCAGCTTTGAGCTTCTCGATGGCATGGTCATGGGCACCAAGAAGTCGAACTTGTGTGGTGTCGCGCTGCTGGCGCCCAGCCCCTTGGCCAGGTTGGCGCGGGCGCTTGGCTGGAGGCATGGCACTGCTGTGGGACAAACTGAGCTTCAGACAAAACTTCGGCAAGTGACCACCATGAGACCGCCCCGCCAGGGGGTTCAACAAGGTCTCACGCCGCCAAGGTCAGCCCCGCTAAGGGGTTCTACAGACCCTGGTCCTTGGGAGCGCTGTTAGCATGCAAAAAGAAATGCACTCAAAAACGTGTAGAGCACCATGTTGGAAGGGAGAGAAGCAAAAAGATCAAAGTTGCGAATGAGTTCCACCAGGTTTGTTAGCTTTGCCTTTGTGGATGTTGAGGGCCCTGCTAGTTTCAAACTTCAAGCCACAGCCGGGGAAGTCACATACATATTCCCAAGCTTCACGGTCTTCAGCACTCACTTTCCGTTGGTTGTGTCCGGCATAGTACACCTTTTTGTCATGGTGGCGCTGAACTTGACGCGGTTGGCGCTTGGCTGCAGCAGCAGGTCTCCGCATAGGGACAGCAGCACCCTTTGCTTTCGGTTGTGCTTTGGCAGCCTGTCTCCGCTGACGTTGAAGTTCGGACTTGCGTTCACGAGCAGTGGGTGACATACCACGTCGGTCACCTGGTCGACTCCAAGGTTCAAGGCCAGGATTTGGCAGGGTGTCCATGTGCCGGTGAGAGGCTTGCCGATCTTCAAACAGGGCTTGAGCAAAGCGTCTGTCAAGGATCGCCTTCCAATTGTCACGATCCCGAGCGGTTTCATCAAGGTGGTTCTCATCCAGTCCGTGTTTGTGGCAAAGTTGAACCCACATGTCAGGTAGGCTCTTGCGATCCGCACTGATTCGACCACCATGCGCTGATGCCTGACGTTGAAAAGCGCCGACGTCAATGGTGCCGCGAGCAAAGGTCTTGGCATAGGTCGTGCTCAACCCTGGGTGCATTCTGCAAACATGACCCAGCCACCTCATTTGTTCTCGGTCCATGGCAGCTTGCACTGTAGGAATGCCAAGCAGAGCGCGCAAGTCACTGTGGTTGACGTGTTGCTCACGCATTTTCGGCAGACGAGTTCGGCACAAGTATCGGCAAGCGGTGTTCATCACTGCCTGCATGCGAAGGACATCGCGTTGGCGGGTCGCCCGAGTTTTGCAGGAGTAGGCAAGGCCACTATATAAGAAAGTCATGAGAAGTTTCCCCTTCTGCTGGAGGGAAAGCCGACTGTTCTTAAGTGCGGGGCGAATCTTTGCCCAACATTTGAGACCACGCTGGATGCTCCGATTGACTGCTTCACCAGGGTCGATGCCACCACCAACCAGACAGACCCGGCTAGGCGTTCCATAAGTGTGCACTTCACGCTTGTCTGGGTGTTCAGTAGATCCCCAGTCAGCCACAGCCTGAGCAAACACATCCATGCCAGCGGATCCATGTTCATCGGACTGATGAAGCTCCTGTCTGGATCCATGAAGGGTGGTGTCATCTGCAAACACGGTGACTTCGACACAAGTTTGGTTGGAGGGTCGTCCATCATTCTTGCGAGTCCAGCTGGAGCACAAATCCATGGACTCATGCCATCGCCATGGAATACCACACGCCAGACCACGACGAGCTGCACTGGCAGGGCGCTTTGCAAGAGAGTATCGAACCATACCACTGTACAAGACGTTCCAGGCCCAAGGCGAAGTACCGTCACCCTCGCCAAATCCACGAGCCGGCCGATAAGGAGCGCTTAAGGAAGCCGGCGATGTATCAGGGCCAGTCTTGATGCAGTAATCCCGGCAGCAGTGGAAGCCACGAAGCGCATTGATGAAGGGACCCTGAGCTTGTACGCCATGATGGAAAAGCAAATGCCAGAAGGGAAGTTTGTTGGCCGTGGGGTATGCTTTCTGCAGGTCCATCAACCCAGCCTCATAGGTGGTCTCATTCCAACCAAAACTTTGCCACGCCGAGATCTCTTCATCCAACCGACGGATCATGAACAAGGCATCATCTGTTCCAAGACCGGTGCGGAAACCAAAGCTCTCAGGCAGCGGGAGGTCGGTGGTCTCGAACCATTGTTGACCTCGGTGGTTGAGCACCTTAGCTAAGACACGAGGGATGCACCAAAGGAGGACGACCCCACGCCATTTGTCCATGTTGGCGAAAGGCTCCTTCTGTTTCCAAAGAGGAACTTGCAGTCCTGGGCCATCCAGACCTTGGTCCTTCCATTCAGTAGCAGGAGTGGACCACAGTCGACGGACATAGGCACGGATCAACGAAGCCAACGAAGGGTCTTGGAACAGCGTCTTGAGCACAATGGGTGGGATACCATCGCCACCCCCCGCACCAGCTCGCAACCGTTGCATGGCGGTGTTGATTTCTTTATCCGTGATGTCAGCATCAAGAGTCAACGACCACTGTCGGACATGGTCAGAAACTGGCAGCGTAGTGATGAAGTTTTCGACGTCAGCATGCAACGATTCCGGTTGGCTGCTGATGTTGGAGAAGTGATCGCGCCATTCGTCAGGCGCAAATGGATTTTGACGAGCGGCTTTGTAGGTGCCTTTTGTTTGCAGAGTGCGCAGGGTTTTATAGAACCGGAAACTGTCGGCCGCCTGTGTAGGATGCGAGGCCAACACTTGTTCCCAGTAGTCGCGTTCCAGTGAACGAAGAAGGCATCTCTGCTGTTTTTTCAAGTCATTGTGGCGTTGTCGACATGCATCCAGCTGAGACAGTGTAGAAGCATCATCCGGCGTATCATGTAGAGCCTGCTGTAGTTCTCTCTTAGTCCTGCGAAGGCAAACACACTCAGTGTTTAAATCCCCAATTTCTCTGGATGCAGCGGGGCTGCGAAGCCAAGGTTTCCGACAAGAGCGCGGCATCTCACCACAGACAGTCAGGGTCTGATGAGCCACCACCCGTCGGAAGTCATCGAAGGACGTGTCAGGGCCACAGGCCTGCGCGACTCGGTGTGTCAAGGTGTCCCGCGCCTCTGCAGCTGCTTCCGAAGTACCACGGAGTATCGACAAGTCAGGGCGGGGAACACGAGGACCACGATGTCGAGCCTGTGTTGCGGCCAGCCGAAAAAACATATTCCTTGGCAGAATGTTGAGTTTGGAGATCATCTGTAGTGTGTCGAAGAGTCATACTCACCAAGCGCTGGAGTTGAGCACGAGGCAGAAGCATCCAATCGATCTCATAGTATCGACGATGAATAGCAGAGTACCAAGTGCCACGGTGCCGATTGCCAATTGCAGGACGATGGCTATCGGCATGTACCCAGCGTCCCAAGGCCATTACACGACAAGTCGCATAGTCATCAACCTGATGCCGTGCAGTTGGGCGATACCTCCCTAGGACATCGGCAGGTTCAGCGGGATCCTCATACAGCTGCGCATTCCAATCACCCGCCACCATATGCAAGGTATTGCTGCTGATGGCACTGGACAGGGCACACGAGGGACTGAAGGCAAGTTCAGTGGTAGAGGCTGCATGCTCCACTTCATCCCAAAACTCGTCAAGTTCCTCTGTGGTTGAAGTCGAGATTGGGGCCCAGACTGCAGTAACAATCCAAACAGAAGGTCTGCGCAACGGGTCAGTGGAAGGATCACACGGTAACGCCACAGACAGCACTCGGCCAGTGTTAGAGCGGTGCTTAGGTGCCCGGTAGGCGTGCCAGGCGGCACTCCAAGAGGGATTCAACAGCACGCCCACCATGCCAGTGTGAACCATTTCCCAACCTTCCCATTTCCAGTGTCTGCACTGTTGGATAGGCTGGCGATGGTGTCGAGACGTAGGAGAGACTTCAGACACAACAACAATCTCCCAATTACGCCGGGAAGCTAGTCGCACTAACTGTTCCAGTTTCTCAGGGTTGGACTTTTCCATGTTAATGGCACCAATGCGGACATGACCATCAAGTGTGGGAGGCCCGTTAGAGGGCACAAGCTCTTGTTCTTGAGCTTGATTCTCACGCAGGCGGTTCTCTCGGCAAACTTGGTTCCAAATCATTCGGCGTTTCCTTTCTCTTTCTAGGTGTGCTTTCTCTCTCACTCGATTCTGGTGTCGCTCCCGCCTCTTGCGGTTGCGATAGCTCTGTGGGAAAACTGTTTCAGTCGAAACGTGGTGTGCGAAAACTGGCTGTGGAAAAAACTGTGCATGGCAAAAACGTGTATTCTGCGAAAAGCCACTGTTACATGCAAAACGGATGCTGCTAGAGGCGAGTGGAGGCGCGGCAAAGTCCACTCCATTGTCGTGAGAATGATTTGTGGGTTCATTTGGCACAGCTTCAATGCTCATTGAAGAACGCAAGCTGCTAGCAGGAAGACTTCTAAACACATCGAATCCACCTGCGCCTTTGTCGAGCTCAGAGACCACCGTTGTCAGTAATCAAGAGCTCGTCCGCTGGATCGCCCACGTGGAGGACCATGAACCCATGTAGATCTCGCTTGCAGATGTCATAGAGGGCCTGTTGGCCTGCTGTCAAAACTGAAGAACCCGGACGATTGATGTCATCATCCATGAGGTTCACCAGAAGAGCCGCGAGCCTAGCCTGTGGGGTCCCGTCGGTTGCAGAACCCCGAGAGGTCTGCACTGAGGTAGAAGAACACGGTGCCCCGTGGCTGGCCCAGCTGCTCTCTGGCCCGGAGTGAGGATCTGAGTGACCCCCCCCTCAACTTGAAAGGAGGAGGCTGGCGCCAAGGACCATAGCCCCCGCGGCTACCCTTGGCTCGTCTCGAGCCTCCCGCTGCAAAAGAATCAACCAAGTTGTCAAACCCCCAGCAACCCGATTGAGAATCCCTGAGTGGCTGATGTCCCGCATCAGCAGCCCCCAAATCACAAGAAGCAAAGTGCAAAAGGGAAGAAGCCTTAGGCATCAGGTTACCCACACTGTTGAACCTCCTCCAACATTTTGCGACGCTTGTTCTCGTCCTCAGTGATGGGAGCCGGAGGGCGCTTCAGCATCGTTGTGAGCTGGGCCTTCTGGTCCTCTGTCAAACTGACCCCAAGGGTCGTAATGAAACCTGCCACCGCGTTGGGCACAGTGTCCTCCATGGAATCCCCTTCATGGAGCTCAGTGGCCGGCTTGCTGGTGTTGACCAAAGCCATGTATGCCGCGGAGGTGGTGTGAAGGGCCCCTTGTTCAGCTTCGAGCTTGCCTTGGATAGTCTTCATCTCCTCAAGCATGTCCCCATAGGTTTTCTTGGCATTGTCCAGCTTCTGTTGCAGGACCTGCTTCTTGTGGGAAAGGTCTCGAAGATGTGACACCTGGGCCTTGAGTTTCATGGCCATGTCTTTCTCCGTTTCTGGTGGAGGTTTGGTGATCTTCTCCACCAGGTCCTTCACTGCAGTGGGCAGTTGGGCCATGTTCTCTTTGAGGACACTCGTCAAATCATCGGCCTCCACGGTTGGCGGAGCTGGCTTGATGCCAAGTTGCTCGAGCTGCTGCTGCAATTTGGGGTCCAAGCTGCCCCATGAGCCCATGAGAAGGTCGGTGGTGGCCTTGTGAACCTGTGAGAGTTTGGAGACTCTGCCCCCCTCCCAGGCCAGGCGGGGGTGTGATAGGTTTCTGGCGAGGAGCATATCGACCTCGAGGTTGAGACTTCGATCGGTCCCGAAAACCTTGTGCAGGTTGCCGCCAAGCCAGGCCGCATTTGCGGCAAACATACCCTTCAGCCACCTTGTCTTCTCAAATCCAGTTGCTGCATTCCGCTCCGCGGCAGCATTGATAGGAGCGGGCCCAAGTGCCTCGGGTCATAGTCCCGCAGGTGGGTGTGGCCTCCTTTCTCGATCTCCAGAGCGATGATCTTCGGGGCGCGTAGTGCCCAGCAAAGTGCTGGCTGCTGCTCTTGAGCCGAGATCTTGAGCCACATACATACACATACATACATACATATTGTATATACATAATATATATGTATATGCATACTTTTATGATTTTGTTATCTTGGCGTTCCCCGAAAATTGCCCAGGTGATAATTCTTGATGACGTTTGCCCACGCTGCACTTACTCTGCGAGCCCTTAATGATATGTGTTTTCAGTCACTGTTTCTCCCTGGTCTCGCCGCGCCGTAGAAAACAAGTATGAGTGTCAACTTCACATTGGCCTGCCTTCGCTTACCACTTACCGGTGTCCTTGCTTGGAATCACGCCACCCAAGTTCAATAGTTGACATTCCGTTTTACTCGCATGGGGTCGGCAAATCTCGACAGAAAGGACCAAGCTCTTGGCAGATTCGAGTCCAAAGTAGGTTCCCCACCAAAAGGGCATGAACGTTTTGGTTTCCTCCACTGACTCCACTGTTTTCAAGCCCTGTTCCCACTGCGCAGGACACGGAGCAAACGTCCAAGTTGGAGGCAGTGTGCGGCTGTCCTGACAGCCTGTCAAGAGGGTCGTCATAGTGGGATGAAGTTTTTGGTTCATGATCCTTTCACTGGGGCTCTATTCCCAAACATGGTTCTGGGCACCCTAGCAAAGCGAAATGGTTTGTTTCTACATGGGCTTTACCAGAATGAGCGGGATATGTCAACAACTTGCCTGCCTTACTTGACCCACTCATTGCTGCCAGGTGGGAACGCTGGAACGCTCCTGCGCGCTGATGGACAAGACCATGGACCTGCTGAAACTCTCCGCAAGTTCGTGGATGGGGCGGGCGGATGTGTCTTTGAGCCAAGAGGCCCCCCTCAGGTGACCCAACGACAGATGTGTAGTTGAAGTACTGATACCAAGGTGGTGCAAAGAGTACGGTCTGGAGGTTATGTTTGTTTTTACATGCCATTGGTCGACTGCAAATGTTGGGAATCTACATGCAGTACAAGGGATCTGTTTTTTGGTCCAGGTCCCTTGACCAAATGTTAAGGGTTTTTGTCTCAACACGAGGATTCCCATCAACAGATCTTCATGCACTTGTCCTGTTGGCAGGATTCCTACGCAGCTGTGTATGTGTTCATGCACACAATCTGATATTAGAGAATCGACACTTGGAACTCGGGCCCAAGTGCGTTGTGGCTGCAGATGTGAACTGAACTTGGTGGAGCACGTCATGCATGTCTTAACATGTATCACTTTGGTGTCACCTACCCCTTCAGCCCCTTCAACCCCTTCACTCACAGAGGTATTAGTATTTTAGCCCTCCTTACAACTGGCCATGTGAATTCCCCACGTCTAAGGAAGAGTCACATACGAATGCTCCACGAGGTCGGAGCTCCTGAGGGTGCTGGGCAGGAAAAGAAACCTTGACCCCTTGGAAGAAAGACTGCCTTTTGTCGAACAGATAGATGACAAAACCGGTTTTCATCCTAAACAACTATACTGATATATGATATTACTGTATATGATGCTATTTGTACATACAATGTATCTAACTGATTCCAGCTGCATATATATGTCATATTATGATATATTGTGTCTATATGTTACAATTGTATGTATATGTATGTATCTGGTTTATTCGATACCCTTGACAAAACTCAACACCAGGGATCTTGAGCTCAGTTACATCTTGACATTCAGCGGTGCAGAGGAATCGATGAAATCAACAGGACTCTTGGGGCAATTTGAGTTCTGTGTGTGGGAAACCTGAACCGCAGAAAAGCCACTAGCAGCTTCTTCGTCCAGTCCCAAATGCCAACACGGCCAAAGTGAGACCAAGCTGTGGTCTTTTCGATTTACGAGAAGTCTTGGCTCCGTCTACCAGAGTCTACCACTTCGGCCAGCTGGACAGCCAGCTGGAGCTCCTAGAAAGGATCACCAAATCAAAGATCAAAGGAAGGAACGCTGCACCCCAGGTTTCGAAGACCTCGCTAAAAGCGAGGATCGCTTTGATGAATCCCCAAGAAAAATAGTGTCTTCTTGCAAGTCTCGATCGTTCAAGACGTTTTTGGGATGGATTGCATTGGATTGCAATCCGAAAACATGAGCATCCCAACCGTCCCACCATAAGACTCGTCACAAGAATCACTATCAGAATCACTATGAGCTGCGGAGCTGAGGTGGCGAACACCTCGGCCAGCGAGATAGAGAATGCTCCGGGGCAGCCATCGCCTGGGCTCTCGCCCTCGCCGGGCCTCACTCCTCGCACTCCAGGTCACCCGCTGCGTGTGCATGCCTTCCGGGTCGGAGAGTGGAACTGCGCAGAATCCCTGCACGACATTCTTCTAACATCTTCTAACCGTTGATTCACGGGCCTTTTGAGTTCGAGACAGATGCCTTTGACCTCAGGGCTCGGCTAGTACTAGAAACATTTGTCGTCTATGGATCAGTAGCGTTGTCTTCGGGTTCGATGACGCGGACCGGGGACCCTTCAGTTGAAGATTTCCAAGCTGCAGGTCCAAACCCTACATTTCTGGGAAATGCTCATCTACCAGCGTTGGCGGGCGGCTGAAGGTAAAACAGTAAGTTTGTTTAGTGTTGCACGGATATTCGACCACCCAAGGGTCTTCTCTGCAGACCTGAGAGCCCAAGATACCCAAGGCACACGACTCACTTTCCCCAGTGCCAGGTCCCAGCCCTGCGCTGGCTCGGCTTCGGGCACTCAAGGTGTGTGTACCTCCCGTGGAGAGGGCTGGGACAGGATTTTGTTTTGAAAGAAAGAAAGATATGTGAAGAAGACCAGAGTAGCTTACTGGTCTACTGGTCTACTGCACCTGACTTGGTTGAATCACAACTCGGATGTTTCGACTCTGTGTCAGTTTGCCACACACAAGTATTTCACTAACCGCCAACCATCATAT